TATATCCTCCTAAATCTGACACATCTTATCTTTAAAGTTCCCTTCAGACATGTTTTAAAGTATGTAAAAAATACTCTATTATTAATATTTTGTTTCACATAGTGTCCAACATAAAATTAAAAAAGAAAAACTCTGAAAGGAGGCCAGAAGGAGATCTACTCAATCAGATCCAGACAACCTTGAGGGGCTAAAAAATGAAGCTAACACAGATGAATATATTATGACATTATCAAGATATGAGACTATATATCGTCTCAGTTTCTGGATATCGTTGTATCGTGATATCGCATACATGATGAGTGCTTTTTTTTTTTTTGGTCGTTTAAAAGGCTGAATTACAGTAAAGTGATGTAAATGTATCAATTTACCAGACTTTGCCGTTATATTCACATTATGGATGATTATTGATTGAATATCTCGTTGCGTTTATATTTTCTGAAAAACAAACCAAAAAAAAAACAATCCCTATGAATTGTTGTCGCATCAGAGAGAGTATTTGGCCGGAAATATTGGTATGTTTGATTTTGTCTCCCAGTGCTAGCAATAATGAAGTGGTTTTGAGGAGATTTAAAAATATCAAGATTTAACAGCCTGCGCAGAAGTTCCAAAAACTGTAGTGTTTCAAATTGCCACTTGAGGCTCGTTCAAAAGGCGAGTCAATCCCCATAGACTCCAATGCTAAAATGCCCAACTCTACAGCAGAAATAAACATGTTAACAAACCTGGCACAAATAATGGTTTTGGACTCTACAGCTAATTTCAACAATCATAACAACGTACAGCAGGTGAAATTTTATATAACTCCCCCATTTACATTTTTAAAAAGGCTTACAAATTTCAGGGCGTGGCCGCTTTGATTGAATCAGATACACCTCTCTTCCTCAGATCCACCCTTTCATCCAAATATACCACGTTTAGCTTCAAAAATACAAGATGACGACAGCCAAAATGCCTAAACCAAGGCTTCAGAACAGGAGTCCACAAACCAATGGGCGACGTCATGGTAGCTACGTCCATTGTTTTCATACAGTCCGTGACCTCATCTTGCTGCTCCGGCATACATTTGCTTTTCACAGTTTAGGGAAGTGCACAGACATCGCCTTCTTCAATGGAGGAATGTGAAAACACCTCTAGTGACAAACTTTGCACAGATAGACGTCAGTATAGTCATAGTCAGATGTTTTAGAGGAGGTTAACAGAAGAAAAACACATTTTTGAGCAGTCTTTAGTATTTAGAGCACTCATTATAACAACAAATAGGTTTTTCTGTCTAAATACAATTCTAAAATAACATTAAATAGAATAATTAAGTGATGTAATATATTTTATGATTACTATAATATAAATTCCCCCCACTGTTTGATGATCCAATAAGCACTTGGGTTAAACTTACTGACACCTTGAGTAGTTATAAGAATTCATATCCAATACTAGATTTTACAAATTTGGGGGGTAGTCCTTATTACTAATTATTATTACTTAATAGCACATCATGTGGTCTTGAAATGTGAGATGATCCTGCCACACCTTGGGGTAATGCTGCAACGTTGAGAGTCACGCAATCCATCAGCTCCTCTTCAGAGCTGTAGCAGGGAGACGCAGGCAGCTGGGTGAATAGAAGCAGATACAGAGCATAATGGAAGAGGATCCATGAGACAATTAAATCAAGACAGACAGGAAAAGACATTTAAGTAAATGGAATTATTGAGAGCATAATTTCGAATGGCCAAATGCATTAAATAGAAAGGACAGATGGGCGGTGGCAAGAGAGGGAGCGACTGAGAGAGCCGAGGAGGGAGGGATGGAGGGAGGGAGGGAAGCTCTGTGTCAGGCTGGAGAGCCACAATATAAGAGATGGAGGGAGCACTTGGTCAGTCTCCAAGATATCGATTTATAAATTAGCCTTGGTGTGTGTGTGTGTGTGTGTGTGTGTGTGTGTGTGTGTGTGTGTGAGTGGCTCTGTGGGCAGAGAAGAGGTGGGGGATGTGGTGTGTGAGGTACGGGAGCAGTTAGTGGTCCACAATCTAATTATGTCTGAGCTGACAAGCAGGAGTAATGACGCTGGGCTGAACACAGAGAGCTTTACTCCCAGACTGGTGCGAGCACTATAAGCACAAAAATCTCTGCTGCCCACTGACATCAATATGAAAAATGATTCAGTTTGATAAATCGAGCTCGGGATCGTGTTATTTATGGAGCACCAAAGTGCTCAATATTAATTAAAGGAAAAAAATGATAATGAAATGAATAATCGTATCCTTAAAAGAGATCATATAAATCAAATAAGCAATTTTTTTTTTTTAAGTCCGCTAGTTATTAGGAAATGTTACTTTAGTATTTTTACTTTAGAACAGTTTTAGTTCATTTCTCTTACAAAACTTTGTTTTTATTTCCTTTTTCCAGCTGGGACCTTTTTTTATTTCATAATGTCACTTTTCATGACAGTGGGGTTGTTGCTGGCTGAAGGGAGGAGTCAGCGGGCTCGCTGCTGTCTTTGTTCTCCTCACAGAGCTGTGTGTCTTTTTCTGACGAACATCAAAACAGTGAAGATGTAACTCAGAACCGACTGGGGCTGTGCCACATCATCTTGTACCGGTGTAATTTTTAAAATGATATGAATGAAATGAAAATACTTGTATATTTCAACTTGTTGACATATTGACGTCATACTGTTACCCATGGCAACAACGAGCATGGCTTAAAGCAAAATTATTACCAATTCCACTGTGGTTCCAAAAAGAGGAGCAGCTTCAGTAGTGTGGAATAAACTGTGGCGTCCTGAATGTTTTATGAACAGCCCCGGACTTCTCAGACTCTTTTAGTGACTTACTGCTCAGAGGAAACTCAGTCAGCGGCTCCTCTGGCAGCAGCACAGCGTCTCTCCCTCTCTTCTCTCGCCATGCGCGCACAGGAGTCGGTGTCATCAAGTGATTTTGTCATAAACCTTTGGTAATGTAAACCTACTCGACAAAAAACTCCATATATGTGAATGTGTGATAGTTGTGGTATCATAACAGCCTGTCACAGGTTACAGCGTGATGATTAGAGGAGAAATGGCAGAGCATAAAGGTCCAGGTGGAAAAAAAAACAACTCAGTCGTTTAGGATCCACCTGTTGATTTATATACATATAGATCCCAGGGGACATTTTTTGTATTTAGGAGCTGCTTTGTTGAACTGTTAATATTGTATACAGAATCTGAATCTCACTCTGAGTTACTGTTGTTGTTCACAAACTAAAGAAATCAGAGATCATTTTTGTTTATTTTTTATTGAATATTTGAAGGTAAACTGTAAAACATCACTTATTTTGTAGCAATTCTGTTTTCTTAATAATTTGTCATATCGTCAATCATTATCACAAAAATACCCTAAAATATCGTGATACTATTTTAAGGCCATATCACCCACCCCTCAAACTAACCCTTTACTACCCTTTGTGATAGTCCGTCAAGCAGCCATGTAGTTGTCACATCCTTGTTGGAGCTGATTTCTCAAATCATCATTCATTCATTCATTCATTCATTCATGTATTTTACACAGTTTACTCATGTGTTTAACAATTATGTTGTTGTATTACAATAATAAAGTGTGAGCTGCTGAATAGCACGACTTCAATCCAAGGAGCTCTCAAATTCATTTTCCTTTTCACCACCTCTATGCTCTTTTTGTTTGTGAAAGCAACACCAATCATCATCTAGCGCTGACCTTTCTGAGCCTTTCATCTGCTCATGAACTCACCACCAATTAGCAGTTGACTTCTCAAACGTGTCCGCGCTTCCAACAGCATCCCCGCGCAGTGAAAACCAGATGTGGTCGCTGTAATAAATGACCTCACTCAGGGAAATCTCTGCATGCAGATTTTTTTCGTGTTTACTGCCGTGAGTGGAAACTGAACTACTGTACGGAAAAAACACATTTTACAGTCCAAACACAGGAAAGTCTTGGGTAATCGTTTATATTTATAGGACTTCAACTTGCAACAACAGCAAATTGGTCTTTAACGGAAGAGTGAGACAGAAGTGGGGTTTTTCTGCTGATTTAAGAGATGGTTTTCTCACGGGAATACATATTGTGGGATGTTCTGTATTTGTGCTTTGCTGTATTTATATTGAAAATCACAAACCACATTCCTCCCCTCCAGTGTCGTCTTTTCACCCAGCTCTCATCCTGCCTGACTCACCCAACATCAGACCTTTGACCGGAACTTTTATAAGCCTTTCACTTCCTTTTCTCAGCTGTTGGACTAAAAACGCCACTGAGTCAAGGTGCCCAGTAGCTCAGGGGTAAGAGTGGGCACCCCATGTATAAAGGCAGTGTCTTTGCTGCAGCAGCCACGGGTTTGTTTCCAGCCCATGGTCCTTCGCTTCATGTCGTCCCCTCTCTCAACCCCCCTCATGATTGAAACCATCCTGTCATTAAAGCCCAAAATAAAATAAAATTTAAAAAACAGTGAGTAAGATGGAGGGCAGACATCTGACTCTTTCACCCCTCTCCACCCTCAATAACATCCAATAATAACCTCCGAGCATCTAACACAGGAAACATATTCAAGTGTGTCAGAGGAGAGATAAAACAAGTGCAACGCCAGATTTATGTCCTGGATAAAAGTTAAACTGTGTAAGTGTGAAGACCAAACAACTTCCTTTGAGAATAACTGGAACATGACTCACTTTATTTGACTGGCATAAAAACAAGACTGCGCCTTCTGCTGTCCATTAGGCATTGTTGCATGCGGGTATTAAAACAGGGGCGGAGGATTCTTCCACAGCTTCAAAGCCACAGTGGCTTTAAAGACTTTTACTGGTTTACATTTTTCTAATGGGTGTTTACATTAAGTTGTTTGTCTCTCAGGAGCAGAATGACTCTGAAAGCATGTTGAGTATGCAGCTAAGTACGCTGGGTGTCCCCGCAGCATTCCTGACAGCCTGCTTATTTCTACTTGTTAATGTATGTGTGTTTCCATGAATATTAATCAGTCAATCTATCCTGTCTGTCCAGGTGTCCACATCCTGATTGCTGTCGGCGCAGTGATGATGGTGGTTGGTTTCCTTGGCTGCTATGGCGCCATCCAGGAGTCCCAGTGTCTATTAGGAACTGTGAGTCACACCTTGATTAGCGCTACGGAGCTGTACTATGTTTTTATTTTGTTTTGTTTATCGTGTGTACACATAAATAGAATATGCATACTGCACGTGTACATGCAGGTGACACAGTACCAGTGATTTTACACTATGCCACTGATCAAGAGGTGGCAGTAACATGCTGAGATAGGCTGCAGTGTGTCAGCAAATGCAGGGAAAAAGCCCCTTTTACACTGCATGTTCAAGATGGAAATATTGCGCTGTTATTCTGCCTCGCCGTTGTATATAAAAGGTTGAATTGTGGAATGGGGGACAGAGTTGTCTCGCCTTTAAGGCGGCATCGGTAGTAGTAACAGCACCTAATTGACCTCTATATAAACGAAACAGCCGGCAGGACAGCATCATGGGCAGCGCGGGTATGACATGACCCACTGCGGGAGATTTAAAAAGTAGCTGTAGCAGTTGGCAGCTAATTTAAAGAAGATGAAAAGCAGGCACAAAGACAGTGAGATTAAGGAGCTCCTTACTTTGCTGAGGATGAGATCAGCCGCCATATAACAGGGACAGTATATGATTATTATTGCCATGTTAAGCCATTGTTACTGTTTAGAAAGTGCTGCCAATGCGTATATTTCATGTCACATATACTCTCTGTTTAGAGGCCTCGCCCGGAGAGTTTATTTTACAGAGGCGTAATACGGCGCCCATCCATCCATGAGATGTACCAGCTCATGTACATAGCCCATTTCGGCCATGACAGATAGCAGAGGAGACACAGAAGCGCCACCTGTTGCAGGGTTTATTTATGTCTTTTTAATAATGTGTTAATGATAAAGGATGTAAACTTGCTTTGGTTTGTCAGTTTTAAAAAAAGGTTTCAGGGTAGCTCAAACTTGTGTCCACGAGTTGAGACCTGATGTGAGATTTGATCATAGACTGTACGCCCAGTTCTCTGTCGCACATTTGTTTTGTGAATGAGGACCTCTGTGTTTTGTTGAGTAACACTGATTGTAAATAAAACTTTTGTTTGTTTTTGAGGAAACTCCACAGGGCATCTTTAACCTTATAAAACCTCTCACATTAAAAGTAAAACCTTTGTTAGCTGAATCCTTACACAGAATATGTTTCTCTTCTGTCCTGCAGTTCTTCGCCTGCCTGGTCATCCTGTTCGCCTGCGAAGTTGCAGCTGGAATCTGGGGCTTCATGCACAGAGACACTGTAAGACCACAAACACACACACTAGAAGCTAAAATATGCAGCACTGAGCCCAAAGGTGCAGTAAATACCTCTACAGGCTTTGTTTAAATACACTGAAAGTAAGCCTCAGAAAATCAGGACCCTCATTTGTTTAAGGTGTTTTCAGCTATTCTGGTGTATCGAGTCTGAATTTGCCCGTTAGACTTAGAAGTTCCTTCAGGTCCAATGTTTGGAGCTCTTTGATTTTATGCAAAATTAGGTTTGTTGCTAATCTAAGCCGCAGTGACTGTGATGTTGTTAAAACACCTTGTTTGCATCAGATGGTGTTTTGTTTGTGTCTTTTTTAAGATGTTTTAATGTCTTAAACAAGGTGCAATAACTGCTGTGGAGGCGTGTCATGCCAATCACTGGTTGAGAAAGATGTGGTAAAATAAGTCATCATTAGCTTCATTTATATGCACAGATACTTTAAGACACAGTTTTTGTATGTAGTGTCATTATAGAGCTAAACATCTGTTGTTGTTTTTTCAAAAAATAAATAACCAGTGATCTTTGAAAAACCCAGAAAGTCATTTAACGACACTTCCTGTTGTTCAGACGGTATTTCCAGAATCCTCAAAGACTCTTTTGACTAGGGCTGGGCGATATGACCACAATCTCATATCCTGATATAGGTCATCTCATATCCCGATAACGATACCTATCCCGATATGGTGATGGGGTTCCTAATAGGTAACGGTCCAAAAGTGGGTGGCAGGTCTGTTCTGTGACTTACAATCATGTCAAGTTTGTTAAAAACACACTTTATTTTAAGTACAGTGAATTTGCGGCACAAAGGGTTTTTTTGTGCCATTTCCTGCTGCAGAGTGACTGAATAACAGACAGCTACTTGACAGAGACAGGAAACTAGCTCGAGGACATGGCCAAACAAAAGTATGATGCTGAATGATCTAATGACTAAGGAGAAATCCGGACCCTGGGGCTGAACCAGTTGGGAACCACTGGTCTAGACCTTTTTTGCAGCATAACTTCTTGACTTATTGTTATTATTATCAATATTATTTCCTTTTCTTTGTATTTGTGTTGTGTAAGTTTGAGAATGACTAAACTAAACATGCAGTGAGTAATTTAATGTAAAAATGGTCATTTTGCGAGTAAGGTAGGGTTTGGGTTTCACTGGTTATTTACTGTAAAAAAAACAAATGCTGCGCTCTGTGACTAGAGTGTAATAGTGATAAATGAGAAGTTCAAACTGGGGCTACTTGAATGACAGAGAAGAGGAGAGGAAGTTGTCTCAGTGACTATGTGGAAGGTAAAAGTTGAACCAGGCTCAACTTTCCCCTCAAATGTGAGTCATCCCACACAGTGTCTGTGTGTGTTATGGCGGCGGATATTCCTTGAAACTCATAGATCGATTACACATCCCGGCTTTCCTGATACAACATGCACACACCAACACAACTTTAGTTTTTTAACGCAGAGTCGATTTTGGTATGAATGCCCTCTAACTTTAACTTTCATGTCATTTGATGCTTCATGTTGAGCACCTCTGTCCTGTCTTTTTTTCAAAGCATATATTAAAACTGACTGATGAAGTTATCAAGTAACAACATAATGTTTGAGGCTGAGCCCATAGAAACGTCTCTGTTTGTATTTTAGGTGTCAAAGGAGATGATCAACTACTATGACTCCGTGTACGATAAGTTTGCAACAGACACCGCCCTGAACCAGGAGAGCGCAAAGGCTACCGCCTCTGTGCTCAAGGTCTTCCACGAGACGGTACGAACATGCTCTGTGAAATGATCATTTGTTTTGTTTGTATGGTTCAAATGTAACTTAAATTAGTTCCTCACAAGAAACATTTGAAATGTGAATTGAGAATAGAGAATATATTCCGCAAACCAGCTTGCCCACTTCGGAACTCTCATAAGAAAAAATAGACACCTTGTATGAAGTTTTAACAGACCACTGTATAAAAAAATGCAGAATGCAAGTTGTTAAATGGACATCTGACAATGTGAAGTCTGAACAGTTTATAGGTTTGACACGTGTATGATAAATAAAAAGGCAAGCGTGAGTAAGGGTTGAAAACTATGAGTCCGTCAGAAGAGCTCTCTAAAGGCCCTGACACTAAGCCAACTGTCAATGTTGGGCCATTGGTGAGCGTCTGTCATCCTAGTCGGTGCAGTGTGTCCTGCCCAGTTTGCCCTTGTTGGCACTAGCTGGCTTGTTTTCTGTCGATTCATTATATTGAGTCGGCGTCGGCGACAGCAGAGCCTGATGGTGAATGAAATCACTCTGATGGCAGTTCAGCTCAGCACTTAAGACAGACAGAACTGAGGAAAGTAAACAAAGAGATAAAGTCAAGAGGGAGAGAGGTCGAAACAAACTCATTATATAAGGTAAGATTGTTTTTCTTTTGCAAATGAGCACTTGAGCAGAAATGTTTTATGATAGTTTGTGTTGCTGTTCACTGGTGCACGGTAAATTGCCCTGTTTTTTCTTCTTACTGGCTAACTAGCGTCAAGAGGCTCTTGTGGTTTTCCCTTTTTGAATGACAAATACAGACTACCACCATCTCCTGGTGTGGAGGGGTATTTACTAGTCTTTTTGGCGGAGACACAGACGCACAGCTTTCGTCACCGCTAGTCCTCTTAAGTCAGTTTGGTGTTTCTGGGCCTTAACAACATATATACTGAACAGAGTGTGTGCAGAGGACGAGGATCATCACTGTGTTGTTTTTGTGTTTCAGCTGAGCTGCTGTGGGAAAGGCAAGGGGACCTCCGTATTCTCAAAGTTATCAGACGCATTAGGCCTGACTGACATCTGCCCCAAGTCTAAAACAGATGTAAGTGCACTCATCCATCTCAGCACTTCCATTAGCACTGTCACGCTTCAGCAGCTTGGCCACACTTCATGGTTGTTTTCACATCATAGCTGGATGAAAGCAACACACACGTTTTGAGTAGGTAAGTCAGACCCAGTAATGACAGTAACACAACCAGGATTACATTAACCATCATTCAGAAGGTTATACAATACCATGTCATCACAGAGTAACATTTTATCTCCTTGGTAACAGATATAAAAGCAAGAGGGTCCAAGTTCAGGGTGTAATGTTATGAGACAGTAGTACGTCCTGATTGTGTGCATACTGCATGCAACAGTACGTACTTTATAAGGGTAGATGCTACCTACTAAAAGTAAAAAGAGAAAGCATGCAATCTGGAAAGCAACACTGAATGTCTTTGACCTTTGACTCCTCAGACTGCATTAAAAACAAAGACATTGTGGTATAAAGGATATTACTACATGGGCTTTGGAACACTTTGGAAAACCACTGTCAGTGAACATGGCTCATCGCTGCATATACAAAGTTAAGACTCTACCATGCAAAGTGGCAGCCAGATATAAACAACATCTAGAAACACAGCTGATTTCTCTGAGGCTGAGTCCACGTTTCAAATTGTTTTTGGAAATCATAGATGTCGTGTCCTCTGAGCTAAAGAGGAAATGAACCATCCAGATTGTTACCAGCTCAGTGTTCAAAAGGCAGAATTTGTGATGGTATGGGGGTGTGTTAGTGCCCCTGGCATCGTGGGTAACTTGCACATTATGAAGAACAAAATACCCCAGGCCCCAGACTGCTGAGCAGCTGAAGTCATATATAAAGCAAGAATGAGGAAGAATTTCACTTTTAAAACTTCAACAGTTTGTTTCCGTAGTTCTCAACTACTTGCTGGGTGTTGCTTAAAGAAAAGATGATGTAACACAGTGGTAAACATGCCACTGTCCCAACTGTTTTGGAACATGTTGCAGGTATCGAATTCAGAAGAAGTGCGCAGTTCTTGTAACAATTAAATAAAGTTTATCAGTTTGAAAATAAAACATCTTGTCTTTGGACTGTATTCAATTAAGTATAGGTCAAGAAGCATCTACAAATCATTACATTCTTTTTTTATTTTTGTTTTACACAGCATCCCAACATCAAAACAACATCTGTGATGCAGAGAATCACTGAAGGCTGTATTTAGGGTTGGAGCCTCAAGACAGTTGCTTAAATCTCAGCTGAGAAATATGCAGGGGAAGTTACCGGTACTTGTGACTTGTGCTTCTGAGGGACCTTCACTTGATTTCTTGGCAGCACATTGACATTACTGAAATGACCTGAGTCCAGTCCAAGCCTCCAGGTTGCCAGGATTGTCTTGTGTTTGGTTTTCTGGAACTGATGTTTTCCAGTGGATTTAGCCAATAGTTTTAGGAGAAGCAGCAGCGGCCTTCACTTCCAAAGAAATCAGTGGATTGATTAAAAGGACTGGGGTGTAATCGTAACAGACTAAAGGTTACTGGAAAATAAAATTTAAAATAAATGCAAGTTGTAATGATGTTTTCCTCCTCTGCATGTTTGAATTGAAATCTATAGACTTATAAACACGACTTTGTCCAGAAATATCAGTTGTTATTTTCTCTTTGCAGGATTGCCACACGAGGATCAATGAATTGTTCTCAGAGAAGATCTACCTGATCGGTATCGCCGCTCTGGTGGTTGCAGTTATTATGGTGAGAACATGAAGCTGGACATTCAATGACGTGGTGTTTTTCTTTCTTGTACTTACGAAAAGAATACAGAAGATGTCGTAACATGACCACCATAACATGGGACAGTAGATACTCAGTTCAGTGTGTGACCATGATCCTTCTTTTGATCAGAACGTTGTTTATTTCAGTCTTCATTTCGCCAGTTTTAGTACTTTAGTACTGAGTGAAGATTCTAATCTTCACTCAGTACACTCATTCACTCATTGTTAATGCAGTAGCTGACAAGGACACTGTAAAAGATCAGGAAGCAGGATACAGTGGCAGTTTCAGCAAATATGACAAAAAGCTAGTTATCTACTGTCGTTTTAAAGCCTGGACTTTTGGAAGGAAATTGAATTTATGTATTCCTTTGAGCTTTACAGTGGCGTGCAAAGGTTTGGGCGTCCCTGGTCACAATTTTGTTTACTGTGAATAGTAATATGAAGATGAGCCGATCTCCAAAAGGCATTAAGTCAAAGATGACACATGCTTTTCAACATTTTATGCCAGATCAGTGTATTAATTTTGTTTTGTAAGATTTTAGGGCGAAAAAACAAAAGGAGCACCATGCAAATGTTTGGGCACCATGACATTTGAGCTCTCAGACGACTTTTACCAGGATCTCGGACCTTAATTAGCTTGTTAGGACTCTGGCTTGTTCACAATCGTCGTTAGGAAAGGCCAGGTGATGCAAATTTCAAAGCTTTATAAATACTCTGACTCCTGAAACCTTGTTCCAACAATCAGGAGCCATGGGCTCCTCTAAACAGCTGCCTAGCACTCTGAACACTAAAATAACCGATGCCCACAAAGCAGGAGAAGACTATAAGAAGATAGCAAAGTGTTTTCAGGTAGCTGTTTCCTCCGTTTGTAATATTATTAAGAAATGGCAGTTAACAGGAGCTGTGGAGGTCAAGATGAGGTCTGGAAGGCCAGGAGAACTTTATGAGAGAGCTGCTCCTAGGATAAAGGCAAATCAAAACTCCCGTTTGACTGCAAAAGACCTGCAGGAAGATTTATCAGACTCTGGAGTGGTGGTGCACTGTTCTACTGTGACACCTGTACAAATATGATCTTCATGGAACGTCCTCTTTGCTTCAGGCCCTTTTCCTTTTTTGCTTTTTTTTAAGACTGTAAAAGATTGAAATTAAAAAATAATCTTGCCTAAAATATTGAAGAAATGTTCATCTTTAACTTTTTGCCTTTCGGGGATCAGTTCATCTTCTACTGACTTAACTATTCACAGTAAGCAAAATTTGCCCAAACTTTTGCACGCCTCTCTATTTGGCTGTTGGTAAATCAAACTTAGACTGACTATATTTGCTGGAACTGCCAACTCTGCTCCTGTGACATCACATTTTCACTGAGGATAAGAATCTAATCAGCACTTCTCTGCTTGTGTCTGCCCTCCCAGATCTTCGAGATGATCTTCAGCATGGTGTTGTGCTGCGGGATCCGCAACAGCCCGGTGTACTAAAGCGACGGGCCACCAGCCTGCTCGCCAATGAAGGAAGGATGACCTCTCCGTCTCCGTCTCATTCTTTTCCTTTTCTTTTATAAGCAGGAAACGTTGCATATATTGCTTGCTGGATTTAGTCAGCTCTTTGAGAAGACAACGTAAACCATCCTCCATTGAGCATTTTAATTACACTGTCAACTATTTTTTTGTTAGTCACAGATGCTGTTATGCATATTTGACCAGTGCTATCCTAACCTGATATGTAGATATTATATCACACTGTCACACATGAATGACATTCACCAGTTTCGGTGCTCTAATCCTTTAGTGACGCATTAGTTGTTTACTGCTTCCTTGCCTATGAACATGCTCTTATATTCTTTGTTTTATGGATGTTTTTTTTTTCACTGTTTTATGTATAAACTGTATATAAATATATATATTAACAGTGCTTTATGACTGCCTAAGCATGGAAATTGTATTACAGTAGATCCTTCTCCTGTATTCTTCCTGCACTCTCTGCTTGTTTGTCTTGCTCTAGACTGAACCAGATGATGGTGTATACGACCGGCACTAGTGAAGCACTAGTGTCACTAGTGTTGGCTTCACCATGCCACATAGAGGTGAACACACACGAACACACGTCCCTGTCCTACAGACCATTGTCTTGGTTCACACCCACACTGCTGTGTGATGTCTGTAGGAACTGACTAAAGAAGGAATCTCAGTTATTCTTGGAAGCTGGAACCAAAGTCAAAGTGACCTGATGTCTGTCATTTTGGCCCTCTGGAATTATTCGTTGATCTGTCTTTAGCTGTTTGTCATTCATCATGTGTCCAAAATTGTCTGAGTGCTCAGTTGCATAAAACGTTTAAGGAAAGTGTTTCCCTCAGTAGTTGTCTTTAGATTATCCTGAGATATAATGAAGTCAATTCAGACGTAGGAGTAACCACCTACATCTCAAATTTTGTCAAAAGCCTTAATTGTGTAGTTAAAAAAAGGCTTTTCGTTGTGAGTATTGAACATGTAATGTCTGATTTTCCCAAACAACAACAGGAGTAGCCAGGACGGAAACGTAACTAGCTTTTCCTGGACTGAGAAGTCATTATTTCATCTTAGGAATTTGTTTAAAATTTCTGGAAACCTCCTTTGGTGTATTTTTTTATGTGAGAAACCATAACATTAAGATGAATCTAAAAACTTAGAGGTTTTATACAACTGTGCCCTTATTTGTGGAGGCAGCTCACTTAACACTCAAACCATTTCTCCCAAATCAGAAAAGTCCAATTGAAATATGACCCATAATGTTTGGCTGACACTCCTGTTGCGTCCATGTTTTGGTCTTGCGCTTTTTTCCACCAAACGTTGACCATCACCACATCGGCCAACTGTTCCTGGTTGGTGAAAGTCCAGCCCGTATTCAGTGTAACGGCAGAAAGAGTCTTGGTTTGGTGTTCTGAATCTGGGTTGCCTTGTCTGGTTGAGTCTAGTCCTGTTTCGTCTGACCTGGTTGTGTCATTGTACTCGCCCTCTGGCTTCACAGCCTACTAACCCTTCCTCGTTGTCCCCATTCATGTAATTGCTCCCAGTGCAGGGCAAGAACAGGGTGAAAGCAGCTCGTCTGTCCCGAGCCACCCAGTGGTTAGCACCAAGCTTGTTACCCCCTTGCTTATGTTGCTTGGCTGTTGGTTTGGCCCTGTATGCACCCCCGAACAGTTTAAGCTAGTGTGTTTGCGTGCACATACAGAACAGGGGCAGACACAAAATCATGAACACCAGTGCAGTTGAATCAAACTATGTGCGAGATGAATGGAGGCCCATTCCTGCCAGAAAGACTAATTAATGAAAAACTAGTAACGATTAAAGAAGATTTATGAGGGATGCAGGGACTTCTGGAATCCCCCTCAAACCACAAGTTAGGGCAACCCAGTTGCCAGAATAAGTCTTGGTGTTATAAGTTTCTGCAAATGCAGATGTTACATTTATACATCTCATATATAGTTGATTTGTTGTAACTTTCAATTTTATGTTGTGACCACACTGTGGTTAACAGGGTTTAGGCACAAAAAACATGGCAGGAAATGTATTGACCTTTCAATTAAAACAAAAACAAAAAAAATTGTTGTTTAAAAAACAGCTGGGAAAGTCCCGACCTTCTGTTAAAAAATACCCACTTTTGTCGCTATAGTCGCAATTTGCAACTACGAACATGGCCGGAAATGTCCCGACCTTCCGTTAAAAAATACCCACTTTTGTCGCTACAATCATCGGTGGAAATGTCCCTACCTCATGTTTTTTTTTTAAACTTGTAGCTAACAACACAGCTGGAACACAGCTCATGGCTGAAAATATCCCAACCTCCCGTTAAAAAATACCCACTTTTGTCATTGTGATCATGGCTGGAAAAGTCCCGACTTTGCGTTAAAAAATACCCACTTTTGTCGCTGCAATCTTCAGTGGAAGTGTCCCTACCTCTTTTTTTTTGTTTTGTTTTTTGTTTTGTTTTTTTACTTTCTTCTAGCTTTTAGTTAAAAAACACAGCTGGAAATGTCCCAACCTTGCGTTAAAAAAATACCCACTTTTGTCGCTGCGATCATGGCTGGAAATGTCCCAACCTCCCCTTAAAAAATACCCACTTTTGTCACTGCGAACATGGCTGGAAATGTCCCAACCTCCTGTCAAAAATGACCTGCTTTTGCTGTTCGTTGGTCTGGAACAGTGGTTGCTGGTGTCTCACCTAGGCGTCACATCATGCACCATCCCCTCCTGATGAGAAACTCGTTTCACGTGTAATCTGAACTACATAACTTTAGAAAGTGTTGATATGAAATGTAACATAGCTGTGGTGTGCAAAAAACTTACATCATTGTATTCTGGTAACTGGGCTGCTTATAGTATCTTCTAATTAATATTCTAATATGTTATTACGTTTGTTTCACTAATTAATTTCAGGGCTGTTGTATCAGACTGTATTAGATTTTACAGGTGTTCGTGATTTTGTGTCTGCTCTCTGTAAATGCGTCTGTAGCTGTCTATGGGTGATCGCAGTGGTAGTATTTGTACTAGTACAGGGCAGCGCAGTCACATTACCAGCTACAGTGTTGACCACAAATCAGTCTTAACTGCCCCGCTGAAGTTCAGCCAATCAGAGCGCTCCCACCGGGCATCTGACCACGCTGTTCATTCGGCCCCGCAGGGTTCTCACTCCACCACGTAGGCTTCGAAGTATTTTGTCCTGAGGTCTGTTCCTACAAGATCCTGCTGCCGCTGACACTAACGCATAACTGCACAGCACCGCAGTGCTCTAAGTTTCACGCATCCTAAACACACACACACACACACACTCACATTAAATCATATCATCTTGTGTAACCCTTCATATTATCACAGCTTTTGTCAACCAACTAAAAACCTTGTCTTGTTAACATCTCATACTTAAACTGAGAAACAGTAAAAGTGTCTTGTAATATTTACAGCTCTGACATACTAACGAAAATCATGAAGGCTGTAGAAAGACAATGTATGCCTTTTTTCTTCTTGTATTGTGATATCTGTGTTTGGTACGTTGTCAAAAGGAGTCTCGACAGAAAGGGTGGAAGATTTTGTGGCAGTGGCGACTGACAGGAGTCGAACCTTCAACACATCAGCTAGTTTCTCCCCACTGAAAAAAAAAGCATGACAGCTTCCATCAGTCAAGTATTCCCCAGTGATGAGGACACTAGCGGTGTTTCTCTGACAGTACTGCCCATGTTGCTGCCTTTTTAATTTGGGACCCACTGCCACATAAATCTCAGCCCCTCTCTACTCTGTAGACTTTGGTTTGCCCAAATATAAAGGGATTAAATGTATTTTACAAATAAACAATCAGGTGTTTTCTTGTCTGTTTTTTTTGGGAATCATATATCATTATAACAGGAAAAGTTTCCCTGTAATAATTTACTTCTAAAAAGTTTATTATATTGACTTAATGCACTGCCGGAAATGTGTGATTATAGAAATTAATAACATCAGTCTCTATTGTAATCAGGGCACCATCTTATTACAAATACTGCTGCTTGCAACAAGCTCTGTACAAACTCCAGGTACCAGAAAAAAATTTGACAATGTTTTATGTTGAGTAGGAAAAAAATAATGAAAACCTAGTCATAGAGGTGCATTAAACTCTAAATATCTACAATCCAAACCTCATCTTGCTTCGTATACTGCAAGGCTCATTGTTTATGACTTCTCTCGGTTATAATAAAACATTGTAGTGTATTGTCCATTTTGCAGTTTCAGTCACCATCATAGAGTCTTTCACCCTGGGGATGCCGGGGACAAGTCCCCACCACGTTTGAAATGGCCAAAAAAACAAGTAAAAATGTTCAGAAAAATAGCTTCCATCAAGAAATGTTAACATTCTCTCTCTATGAATAGGATGAGCTATGAAAGTCCTGGGCCTGTATTATAATGCTTCCTAGTACAAAGAGTTGCTCCTAGTGACAAAATTCTAAGAAAATTCTTAGAAGTTTTCAGTTTTCTAAGAATTTCCCCTCAAAGTTAAGACTAGGTCCTGGTAAAGATAAGTTATTCACAAAGCAACCTAGCCCTTAAGAGAGCTCTTAGGTGGGTCAGGAGTAGGGAGGAGGACTTTTAAGAAGCTTAAGAGTTCCTTAATTAGATTAGAAATGGCAGAACAACAAAGAGGTCAGATAAATACTCTCCAAATGCTGGATGATAGTGAGTTAATCAAATGCTACAGATTAGATGGTGCATCGGGGAAACACATAGATTTCCTACCCAATGCAATAAAGATATAATGCTATAATATATTTGGCAACTGGGAAAATGAAAAAGTGCAGCAGTGATGACTTGAGTCTGCCTCAACCTTCCATCAGCAGAGTGATCACACTAATAACAACACTTTCACAGTCAGCAGTTCATTTCATTTCCACTGGGTGTCCACATTTTGCTCACAAAAGGACAACCAATCACACCTGTTAGAAGAATGCTTCACACCTAGCAACAGCGTCAACCACACCTCTCTTACATAGAAATTTCTGTCCTTTCCTTTCCCAAAAGTGCCCTGAGAATTCTTCCAAATCACTCCCAAGACTTCCTCTAAGGCGCTGGGCTTTGTAATTGAATATAAATGGATCAATGTCACATGGTCATTTAAAGAGGTTACTGCCCCAAACAAAGGAGGACTGAGAAGTGAATCACACCAACCTGTGTGTTGACCCAGCAGCAGTAACACTGAAGGAGAAAAGTTTGTCTACAGGGGAAGAAATATTTCAAAGCATCCCAGAATGTATAGACATTTTACAATAAATTGGATGCAGGAAACACGTCCCCTCCCCCGATGTTAAAACAAAACCTATGCCCTTAGTAAAAGTCAAGGCTATGCCCTTTTAATGTGCTGCTTTTTCTTGACAATACAATACCCTATTCAGCTCTATTGGATATTTACAGCCTTTTTTTAAAGGAGCAGACTTTAACAGAAGAGCTAGACTTGATCATGCAGTGTAAAATGTTCACCCAGCCTTGAAGCCATTTGTGATCCAACAGGCAAGTCTCAGTGTTCCCAGACTGTATTTGAGCCATCTGTGTATCTGTTTTCATCAGAGTTCATTTTCACTTTCACTCCCTGCTTCCTGTGAAGTTTGGAGAGTAGTATTTCCCCCAGACAGTTTTTCCGGAGGAAGTCCAAACAGGTGCACACTCAGTGAGACTGGTGTTGGTTATTCAGGTCACAAGATCACGCTCAGAATAACTTATTGAGGCTGTAACATGCATAGTTGAGTACTCAAGCAAAACATCTTCATCTTCACCAGGAACTTTGCCTATTTTTCTTAAACTAAAGTCTGTCCAGAACGAAGTCCTGCCTCTAATAAACGAGTTGGGTGTGGGTGTCTTCTCTCGGTGCTGCTCTGTGGAGGGTCTCAGTGGATTTTAGAGACACTTTAAGCTTCACATCCAAACAAAGAGCCTTTTTCAGACAAGCTAAACAAAACATTACTGGCTTCATCTACCTGCTCACCACCCCCTACGTCCCTAACCTCGGTGTCATTGTCTCCTTTCACCAATCTATCAAACACATCACCAAAACAGCCTTCTTCCATCTCAGAAACATCGTCCACCTCTGTCCATCCCTCTCCTTCTCAGCTGCAGAGACTCATTCATGCATCCATCACCTCCAGACTTGATTACTACAATGCTCTCCTCTACAGTTCATCATCCAAAACTCTCAAGAAACTGCAGTGTATCCAGAATTCACCCGCAACCGTGACCACATCACCCTCACCCTTTATAACCTCCACTGGCTCCCCATCCCCCAGCCTATCCACTTCAAACTCCTCACCATCACCTAAAGCCCTCCACAACCTGGCTCACCCCTACCTGTCTGAGCTCCTACACCACCACCAGGACAAACCACCACACCTGAGGGGGCAGGGCCTTATCCATAAATTCCTAAATACATCAGAGACTCTCCCTCACTCTCCACCTTCAAGAAATACCTAAAAACACACCTCCTCAATACTGGGTTCTTCTCCTCCCTCTCTGCATTGTTTCCCTTCTTATGGATTGTTTCATATTTGATTTAAATTCTGTTTTGTTTTGTTCTTAATCTCTGTAAAGCGTCTTCGAGTATCTAGAAAAGGCATGTTGTCATTCAGACACAGTTGTCTTTATGTCACTGTTCCTCACAGCTTCATTCAGACACAACAGGACATTCATATGGAAGTTTGAGCACCACTCAGTCTGGAAGTCCACCTTCAGAGAGTGTCACGGATTACAGTGGAATTAGATTTGTGTGCCGGGAAGGACTGAATCATGAGTGTAACAGATGACCTGAGCCGGGAAAAGGGATTCTCATGCTCATAATGATCAAAGCTGCTCACTCATGCTCACTTTAGGCAGTCTGAGTCCCTGAGCACAAACCTAAACTGAGAGCAGATGGTCACCTGCTCAGTCTGACCTGGAAGTGAAGGGTGACTCTGTTAGAGCCACTACCTTCAAAATAAAAGCTAGGCAGTTGCCTCTTTTAACCACCAGATGGAGACAAAGCTTGGTGTTTGGTGTCTGTATGAGCTTAATTAATTGCTCAAAACAGTACAGCAGTAGTAGTGGCTGGTGGTGTCAGCTTTGTGTTAACTTATATTTCTATTGCTGTTTTCTGAACCAGATGTTTATTTTTTTCCATTTCTATAAATAGTCTTAACAGAATTGTAAGTAAAACACTCGTGAATGAGGATTATTGTCACTTCTGATCTTAATGCTACCCTCAGAAATCTAATGAGTCTGATTCAAGGTAGTTGGCATCACTGTGATCTGATCAAACTCCATGTGGGATCAAAGAACCTAATAATAATATTACTATGGGCTGTGGCTTCATCTAGAATTACAGCATTTTTAAGCATGTATTTACACTCACCGGCCACTTTATTAGGTACACCATGCTAGTATTGGGTTGGACCCCTTTGCCTCCAGAACTGCCTTAATTCTTGGTGTCATAGATTCAACAAGGTGCTGGAAACACTCCTCAGAGATTTTGGTCCATACTGACATGATGACATCACACAGTTACTGCAGATTTCTCGGCTGCACATCCATGATGAGAATCTCCCGTTCCACCACATCCCAAAGATGCTCTATTGGATTGAGATCTGGTGACTGTGGAGGCCATTGGAGTACAGTGAACTCATTGTCATGTTCAAGAAACCAGTTTGAGATGATTTGAGCTTTGTGACATGGTGCGTTATCCTGCTGGAAGTAGCCATCAGAAGATGGGTACACTGTGGTCATAAAGGGAATCAGGGAAATAGAAAGCAGGTCAGGCAGCTGCAGGGATGATGAAGGAAAGTGGGAACAGGTGAGTAGGTGGTTGGGAAGATCAGGTGACTGGGACTGAAGGGAAAGGATTTATTAGTGTACAGGAGGGAGTGGCTGGAGTCAGAGTCAGTAACATGGCCAGAGCAGATGGAAGATTCAGAGGGCATTTGGTGGGCTGGTAGACAGTGGCCATGAACATGTTTGAGGAAATGAAGTGGCTGGAGCAGAGACTATAAAAATAATTGACATAGCCAAAGTGATGTCACCAACAGGTTTGAGGATTTCTGTTTTGAAGCTGTGAGGCATTTTGGCCATTGGTATCCTGAGTTTTTGGAGCCAGAAGTGGCCATGTTTGCAGGAGAGGGTGGAGCTGTGGAGGAGTGAAGGGTGGACCTGACTGAGAACCTAAGGACACAATGCAGAGGGTTCTACCGAAATGTCAATCACAAGGTAGCCCTAACCCATTCATAAACCAATTATGTTTCATACACAAAAAATATATTGTAATTATGGATTTCTCTAAATGTACTCATAAATCATCAGAAAAAATAAAGTATTTTTTTTAACACAGAAACCACTTAAAAGTAAAAATGACAATAAACGATCTGTTAAAATAGATATTTCTTTCAATAGAAAAACGTGAGTTAATTCATTTTTAATGAATAGTTAACTCATATCAGTGAATACACTGATGCTTGAAAACGTATTGCATGTATATTTTCCATTGTATTTGTCATCAAGACACAAAATATCGTCAATTTCTGAAATATCTTCAGAAAACAGTGCGTTTAAAACCTCCTGAGAAGAATATTCTTTATTAGTTGATATAATCAATAGGATGCATGATAAGCTTATTGCCTCATTAGAAAATCAAATCAGAGCAGTGTTTCCCGAGTGAAACAGTATCTCCCTTTTCATTCTTCAGTGACATTCAGATGCACAGTCTATTCAAATCCAGAGCAAAAGCTATAAAGCTTTCATACAATATTTTGACATGTATAAGTAATATAACGATGCAATATACTCTTATCTTACGTTAAACACAGTTTAAAAATAAATTC